GAACCACTACAAAAAAACAGTCAAATTGCGGCAGTTAATTAGCGGCCGTCACCGGTAACTCCCACAAATTGTATCAAATTGCGGGACTTTCTCTAACCGATGCAATTAATTATAATTTGGGGGATCAGCTGGTACATTAAAAGCAAAAGAGCGCCAAACTTCTAATTTTTCCCACAATATTTTTGTTTTCCCTCATTTTTTTCTCCGCCAAAACCTTTTAGACTTATTACCCAAAACCTTTAGACCTTCTAATTTTTTTGCCGTCTCTCTCTCTCTCTCTAGTCTCCAAGCGGCAACCTCTCTCTCACCAAATTGGAGTGTCGTTGCTAGAAAATTCACGGTGTTCTTCTTCAGATTATTTGCAATTTGTCTTTCATCTTCTCCAATTCTGATTTTGTGTAACCAGGTATTTTTGTATTTTGTAAATTACATGTGGGTTTTCACTTTATTTTTGTGTTATTTTGGGTATTCTCTGTTGAATTTGAGGTTTCTCTATTTATTTGGAGTTTTTTGGTTGATTTGGGGTTTCTATGTTGATTATATGCAATTTATTAGCTTGATTTCTCTATAATCCTAGAATTTTCTGGCATGCAATCTGCTTTATTGCCTCAATATTCATATGTATTTTTGTTTTCTGTTTCTTCTTTCATGTTCTGTAATGTAAAAATTCATTAAAAAAATGATTTGTCGCTGTGTTTTTCAGTTGTGGTAAGCTTTTTCTCCATTATTTCTTTAATTACTGCACTGATATCCCTAATTTTTAACCTTCATTTTACTTGATTCTTACATGCATATTTATGGCAGATACCTAGGCACATGTATGTATAATTTTGGTTTTGTGATGATGCTCTGTTCTTTCGATTGGGGAATTATGTGATTTTATTGGTTATTATACATATGAATTGGAGTTAAGGGTTATAACTTGGTGATTTGTCTATTTTTCTATTTTGTGGTTATGATAGGGTTCTTTTACTGATATGATAAAAATCAAAGTAATAGGCCTTCAATTTAGTTTGATTCACCTCTCTGCCAGTAGGAGGTAATATCTTGTTGTTGAAACATGTTGTCCATAGTATTATCTGTTTCATATCTAGCTGGACTTTATGAATCAATGGTATTGAATATATGAAGAAGATTAAANAGATCAAATCCAAACAATGTTGAAACTTGATCGCAGTTACCACCTTTGTCAGCATATCAGCAGGATTCTCTGTAGTAGGAATTTTCTTCACCGTGACTCCACCTTCTTCTATGATTTCTCGTACGAAATGACACCGGACATCAATGTGCTTCGTTCTTGTATGATAAACTTGGTTCTTTGTTAATTGAATAGCACTTTGACTATCACAAAAAATTGTGATACCTTTTTGTTCAACACCAAGCTCCTTTAGCAATCCTTGAAGCCAAATTGCCTCTTTCACAGCATCTGTAATAGCCATGTACTCTGCCTCTGTTGTAGACAAAGCAACTGTTGAC